TTTTTTTTTTTTTTTTTTTTTTTTGTGTTGGTTTTTTTCACGTTCACGTCATTTTGAGTTGCCGGATCAGTATATCTCCCGTAGCATTTGTCCTCTCCCACCTTCCCCCATCCCAGAAACCCTTGTGCTTGCTGGGCCATTCGCTGCCCGAGTTGGCATCTTCCCTTCCCTCACATCAGGTCCTTGTAACGGGTTCAAAAGGCCGGTTTCCCACGGGGCAGTCAGAGCAATGGCCTGGGGTTTTCGGAGCTGCGGGTAAGACGCAGTTCTCCCTAGAGCAGTCTCAGCCCACATCAGGCATCCTTGGTCTCTGCTCAAATCGCACAGACAAGCACACCGTGGTCCGACCAGAAGCCGGTGTCTTGAACATCCCTCTGCCTCCAGAAGCCCCCAGGCCCTGGCATGGGCCCAGAGAGACCATGGCAGGCTCCTCCTGGCACAGCTCTGCCAGCCAGGAGTGGGGAGGGGGCGGGGGGTCCTGCCTCGTGTAGATGCAATCACGCTGGCACACGAGGAATAAGTTACCCTGGTACAAGCCCCGCTTTGCTGGTAGACGTGCACTCGCGCTGCGATGCTTGCTGACACTTCTGCATGCACAAAGCGCCTAGCGTGGGCACGACTGGGGCTAGCTCGTCTCCGCTGGGGGAGCCGGGCCACTTCAAGGCCTGGGGAAATACCCGCCCCCGTAGCTGACAGAGCCATCCTGTTGACTAGAGGCACGCTTCGCCGGGGCCGTCTGACCCCAGCAGGCTTCCCTGCCTTGAGCGTGGGGCCGGACCCAATGACCTCCAGCCCCTAACTTCCATGAATCTCTGAATCATGTGGACAGGGGCAGAGACTCCAGAGCGCTTGTGCCACTAGGGTGCTTTGCTGGGACGTCTTTGCCCGGGGAGCCGTAACAGCAAATCCCCGCTTGTGCGGACAAGCCTGGTCTGCAGTCCTGCCCAGGGAAGAACGGCTGCAGCGAGGATCAAGGATCCTGGCCGGCTGGAGCAGGGCCCCGTCAGGCAGAGCTCGGCCTGATCCCCGAGGAGAGACGTGCTTCCCGTCTCACCTTCCCCCGGTGTTATGTGCTGCACCTCCCTTGAGCCCAGTAGGACCTGCTCTGGGCTTTCCACGGGACCCAAGCTGAGCCCCAGGGAAGGGGGTCCTGGACCCCTCCCTCGGCTGGGGAGCGAGCCAGGGGAAGGAGGGAGCGGGCTCAGACGGGCGGGCTGCTCCAACCGATGAAGGTGTCCTCTCCCAGTGGGCAGCTCTCAGTAGGACCCCTTTCTCCAGTCCCATTCCTCCACGGTTGGTCCCCCGTGCTTTATTTTCCGTTTGGAGCCCCCGGGGCGTGAGCAGGGACCAGCCGAGAGAGCCCAGCCAGGACTCGAGAAACTTCACGCCAGACGGGCAGTGCCTCCCACGAGCTCTGGCACCGGGCCCCACGGCTGGGCCATGCCACGTGCCAAGGCGCAGCCTCGCCGGGGGGCGCGCGTTCTTCCCCTTAGCACATCTCTGGCCCCCGGACAGAGGGAGGGGGATTTCTCCATCTCCCCCCTGCTCCCCAGACACGCCAGCCCATTTCCCTGGCTCCGAGGCTGCTGGGGGACCCACCCGCGCTGGAAGCCCGCTCTGAAACGCTGCTTTTTCCGGGGGGGCGGTTCTCCATGCAGATGCTCAACCCACAGAAGCGGAGACGGCCGTGTGGAACCAGGTCAACGCGGTGCTGGAGGAGGCACAGACCATCCTGGCCGAGCTGCAGTCCTACACCGGCGCGGGACTGGAGATCAGAGAGGTAGGACTCGGCCGCCCGTGCCTGCTCTGGCTGGCCGGGAAAGCCAGGAAGCAGGGCAGGCTCTGATGGGGGGTTTCTTCTTCGCACGTCGCCGCAGGCCATCCAAAATCCCAATGATCTTCAGCTCCAAGAGAAAGCCTGGAACGCCGTGTGCCCCTTGGTGGCAAAGCTGAAGCGCTTCTACGAGTTCTCTCTTCGTCTCGGTGAGCGCAGGCTCGTCCCCGTCGGCCCCCAGCCCAGACTCAGCCCCCGCGTCCCCCTTCCCTGGGAATCAAACCTGCTGCCAGCCGGGCGTGAGGAGGGGCTGGTGGGATTGGGCTGGGCGAGCTGCTGACCACGCAGCTCACCACTTCCCTCTCCCCCCTGTTCCCAGAAAACGCTCTGCGGAGCTTGCTGGAAGCCCTGACCAGCCCGCCCTACGCCCCGACTCAGCACCTGGAGAGAGAGCAAGCCCTAGCAAAGCAGTTTGCAGAAATCCTACACTTCACCCTCAGCTTTGATGAGCTCAAGGTACCACGAGGCCTTTCACATTGGCCGCCTGGGTGGGAGAAGGTGAGGCGTGCGGCAGGCGTTTATAATCTCCTGCAAGGGGTCAGTGGTGCCCAGGTTGACTCCATCCCATCAGAGCAGATCATTTGGGGGAGCTGGCATTCCCTGGCCTGGTCTTCCTATGGATGCTAATGTCATTTGGTGAATTAGCTGTGCTTTCCCTGGCACAGGAGAAGGGCGAGTCACACCAAGCATCCCTTTTGAACCTGGAGATAGGTGTGGTCTTCATGAAGTCATCTAGGCCATTCCTGCCCAAGTTAGTGGGGCACTTTCCTCCACTCCACTCAGTGCTTTGTTCCCTCCTTCTTCTAAGCGACTCTTGGAAAGCTGTATCCAAAGCCATGTAATAGGGTCAGATCTATTAGCATTCAGTCCTAACAGATCTGTTACCAAAAGTCATTGGTTGTCCCTGAGATCTCCTCTTGTCTTCTTCCACTTCAGATGACCAACCCTGCCATCCAGAATGATTTCAGCTACTACAGAAGAACCATCAGTCGAAATCGCATTAACAATTTACAGGTAAGGGGCTGCTGGTCCTTGCACAACCTGCGCTATGTTGGCACGGCAGGGTAGGAATGGAGCCAAGCACCAACCAAGGATGGAGAATGAAACGTCTTGACCCTGCTGCCCCTTGGGGCAAAAAGCCACAAACTGCATCATGTGCTAGAATAATGCAATGAAAAAGCCTTGCAGGTTGGCAGCAGCCACTGGACGATCTCCCAGGGTGCTTGGCAGAAATAAGGATCTTGAGCACTGAGCACTGGGGTCTAGGGCAGCAGGAGCAGAGACGGGTTTCTTGCAGCTCAAGGCACAGAATGAACGGAGTTCACTCCCTTTGTCTGGTGATGTCTCCTGGGGCTGAACAAACCTGAAGGAGACTTGGGCTGAAGTTTGTCCAACCCAGATAAGGACAGCACAGCAATAGGACTTGTGCATGGCAGTGACCTCACTGCAGGATGCCATTGCAGTGAGGGCCCATCCTTGAAGAGGGCTGGCCAAACGTGGGAGCAGTCAGCCAAGGCAAGTCCCATGTTTTGGAAACATCCTCAGGACACAGGCAGAATCCAAGGGGTGAAATACTTCCCCATGTTATCACTCATGCTTCAGAGACGGGGTCTCAGAGCTTGGGCTCGTCTGTGCCAGGGGCGGGCTAGAAAGACAGAAACATGGCAACTCCAAGACTAGGGCTGCTCAACACGTTCCTGTAGGGATGATTGGGCAGAGCTCAGGGGTTTCCAGCCCATGGTCTGCCAGTCATCCTCATTTCATGTCCTGCAGCTAGACGCGGAGAGCGAAGTGAACAATGAAATGGCCAACAGGATGTCTCTCTTCTACGCAGAGGCTACACCCATGCTTAAAACTCTAAGCAACGCCACAACCAAGTTTGTCTCTGAGGTGAGTGAGCTCCAAAGAAGGTAGGAAAAATCAAAAGCAAGGAGAAATGCTGGTCTGGACCCAGCTTCCAAGAGAAGTGGTGCTGGCTCCTACCCTGGGGGTCTTTAAGAGGAGGCTGGATGAATACCTTGCTGGGGTCGTTTGACCCCAGTGCTCTTCCTGCCATGGCAGGGGGTCGGACTCGATGATCTGCTCAGGTCCCTTCCGACCCTAGAAACTATGAAACTATGAAATGGGGTAAAAGAGAGGTCAAGGGACAATATCCCAAGTTCTGCTGGTGGGACTCCACTGAAGTCAACAGAACTGCAGTGAGCTTGGCCTCACCCCAGGAGACAGAGTAGGGTGGGAGCCTTGGAAGACTCCCCTATGAAGCCAGCATGCCGATGGCATCCTTCTCCATGTAAATCCTGTGTCCTCAGGGACAGGCTGTAAGTACCAAGCGCAGGCAACACCAGAATGGGCAGGAGCATCTACAGATGGGAGGTCCCCTGGGTACCCGCCGGGGGCACGGAGATGCAGCAGAGCTGCTCCATTGCCACATCTCTGCAGTGCATGCAGCAGCAAGGATCATCTCTCTCTCTCCTCCTCCCCCTTCAGAACAAGACTCTCCCGATTGAGGACACCACTGACTGTCTAAGCACCATGGCGTGTGTCTGCAGGGTGATGCTGGAGACCCCGTGAGTCCTGCTTTCTGCCGCACATGCCTGGGAGTGGAACCGCCCCGGGGAAGTCGGGAGGGGGCTGTTGGGAACGGACCCCCGTGGCCCTCACACCATCACCAGACTCTCCCTGCCTGTAGCAGGACTAGGATGAAGCACGGAGCATCCACACCCGAGTACTGTAGTAACCCCTGCAGATGGGCCAGGACTGGGAAGGGAAGAGGGGGATCTGCATGTCTCGGACATGGGGCACGGTCCTCTTCCTAGCAGCCTCCGTATAACCCCCGTGACTCCCCCGCCACTGCAGTGGCAGGGCATCACTGGGGCCTTGCTTTGTGATCTTTGCCCGTGCTGTGCTCTAGGGCCGGTTTCTCACTGGTGCTTTGGGGCTGTTGTGTCGGGGGCTGGCACGGATGACTTTTAGGGCTCTTTGGCCGGACCCACCAGCCTGGGAGGCTCAATCTGGTCCTCTGATCCTATGTCCATAAAGACAAGAAGCTCAGCAGGAAGGAGACAAATCCCAAGCCCAACTCCCTGGGTCATTCTGAACCAGCAGCCCCTGCAGTCGCCCCAAGGGAAGGGATGTTGCCAAGCCTAAGTGTCCCCCCTGCCTGCGACCCCATGGGCATTGCCCCTCACCAGAAGCAGCAAGGACGCTGCCGGTCTGACCCTGCACACACACCCCTCACTGTGATGACCCCTCTGTTGGCTTCAGGGAATACAGGAGCCGATTCACCAATACCGAGACCCTGCTCTTCTGCATGAGAGTGATGGTTGGAGTCATCATCCTCTACGATCACGTTCACCCGGTGGGGGCGTTCGCAAAGACCTCCAAAATCGACGTGAGTCTCAGGGCACGGGACGCTGGGCGGGCGCGGAAAGGAACAGGAGAGGTTGAAGCTGCCTAGTGGGAAGCTGCAAACGGGCAGCCCCCGGGACACAGCTTTGGTGCTGAGAGTGGTCTTGCTAGCCGCCCCCTGGATCTGAGCCCACGCAGACACAAGACATTTGATCTCCATAGAGATCCATCCAGGCTGGGATAATCCTAGCCCGGGGGGGTGAACAGGTCCCACTGCGCCAGGCACCAAGAGTGAGCTATGCACGGAGTCGCATCCTGGAGAGCCCAATGCACGGCTCCTCCAGGACGGAGACTTTCACTGGCTTCCCTGGTAATGGCTCTGCCTCAATGCCATCAGGCCTACCATAGCTAGCATCCTATGTACAGAAAAGCCCGCGAGGCAGCCCTCAGGGAAAGGCAACCCCCTCACTGCCTCCACGCCCACTGGCAGTGTCTGAAAACCTGCTCGGTCAGTCCAGAGCCAAGTGCTGGCAAGGAAGGACTCCCACCCTGAGACGTCGTCCACAGGCAGGGCTGGAGATGCATAGCTGCGTGGAGGAGGGTGAATGGATGGGATGGAGCAGGAGCCGGTGCTAGGGGAGGCCTCTAACTAGACATCTCCCACCCCTGGGTGCTGCTTCCCTGGTGCCTTAGCTGGTCTCAGAGCAGCTGGATGTGACAGTTCCCGTCCAAGGGGCCTCGTCTGTGCCAGCGTTCCCACTGGAGGGGCCGCAGTGCCACCTTGGGAACATTTTGGCCCGGTTTAAATACAGAGGGACAGAGAAGACAAGAGCTCAGAGCCAGGAGAAGGGAAGGGAGAAAGGTTGAAAGCAAAGGGGGGAGGGAGAGCGGTTGTGCCTTCCCTTGAGGGGGGGTGGTCCTTCCCTGCCCCCGCCCCGCTCTCTCTCTTTGAACCCAGCCGAGCCTGATGCTCTCTCCCAATGTGCTAGATGAAAGGATGCATCAAAGTCTTGAAAGAGCAGCCGTCCAACAGCACAGAGGGGCTCCTCAACGCACTGAGGTAAGTCCAGCGCTGCAGAGAAACTCAGCGGTGGCAGGATACGCTCTGCACTGGGAACGTGGTGCGGTTGCGGGGGGGTGACCCCGGGGCTTTGGGTCACACAAGCCTTTCCATGAAGGTTTTCTTACCTGTTCTGCAAAGCTGCTTCGCTGCCTGGAGAGTCCTCCTCCCCCTCACAGCCGGCTCAGGTAGCGAGCAAGGAGCAGGGGCCAGCTGATGGCTTTCAGGGTCTCTGTGCAGCTTGCTGCTTGGTCTCGGGCCTCTTTCCAAGGGAAATGCATTCAAATATTGCCGTTGGTTGGAGCGGTGAGAAGGTGGAAGTCCCACGCTGGGTCCAAGGATGTCAGCTCCCGCACTCAGCTGCAGGCTGAGAGGTCCACAGCCAGCTGGGGCATTTCTCAGAGAGCTAGGCACCTGGTCAGCTTGAAAAAACCCACAACTGGTGCATGACACAGGCACGCAACACCTGTGCACGCACGCACCCTGGCAGATCAGTGCAACTATTCCCCCTGAACAGGCGGACGAATGGAAATATTCTGCCCGCCTCATCTCAGTGCAAGGGAGAGAGGGGGCTGAGACCTCCCTTTGCTGAACCCCTTGCCCTGAAGAGAGCTTGGAGGCCTCAGGGGTTAGGCTGCGATGCATCCCCTGGGCTGTGACCTGCCTGATCTGTTCCAGCCGCTTTCAGGACTAAGGCATGGTGCTGGACACCCCAGACCCGAGGCCTGACATCAACTTGGCGGTGAGATGGGGTCAGATGAGAGCACGGTACGCCTTCCCCCCATCACAGCCTGCCTGTGCCCTACAGGCAGCTCAGCCACTGGGGCCTGTCCAGGCCTCATGAGCTGAGCACAAAGTGGAAACTGTCCAGGTTGGCGCAGACAGGTCACCAGACAGCCGCCCCCGGCAGCCCCTTCCAGCACCCGCTGGCTAAGCCCAACAGGTGTAAGAGGCCACGTAGCTATAGGCTGGCTTTGCGGCTAAGACACTGGGCTGGGAAGTCAGGCTCCCTGCTCTGCCACTGACTCCCTGTGAGGTCCTGGGCAAGTCACTTAGCCTCTCCATGCCCGAGCAGTCTGGTGGACCTAGGGTTTAGGTATGTTTGGCAACTGGAAAGTGGTGACTCTCCATCACTGGAGGTGTTCGAGAAGAGGTTAGTTGGGGGTGACCTAGGCATAGCCGTGCCCTTGTTCTGCTCAGGGGATTCCCACGCTTCTGGGCTGTGCTGGCTGCCCCCTACCCCCTGTTCTGTTGCACGCATCAGGGTGCTTTTATGCCTTCCTCAGAGGCACTGGGTGTTGGCTGCAGCCGAGGCTGGGGATCTTGACTGGGCCGTGCCAATGCTCCTATTGCACCTAAACCCAGAGGTTCCCGGCTAGAGGGTCTTGCCCCTCTGCTCAGGACCAGACCGGTTGTCGTATCTGGGGCCAGGAAGGCATTTTACTCCCTGCTCAGATTGGTAGGACTTGCCTCCCAGGGCCTCTTGCGTGTCCATTGCCAACATTTCACAGAAGCAGGACTCTGCCGTGGCTGTCCTGCTTGACCTGTGGCAGGTTCAGGTGTGATGTCTTGAGTTGTGTCAGGGCTGACTGCCATTTTGCGAAGGGGCTAGCCGGCGGATTTGTGTAGGATGGTTTGAACAGGGATGACCCTGCCTCAGGCAGGGTTTTGGACTAGACGTGGCCTCCAGAGCAACCTTCCAGCCCTGCTTCTCCTCGACTGCGATTCTGTGCCCCGGTGAATTCCCAGCCTGTTGCTTACCTGGGTTTCCTGCTTGTGCCTCGACCTCCCCGCATGCATCAGGAGACTTCAAAGTGCAGGAGCTTCCTGCTGAAAGGGAATCAAAGTTAGGTCAGCGGAAATGATCCGAGGGGAAATGGCCCTGGCTTGAAATGGAGTGAGGATGGACGCCCAGAGCAGCCTTAGTTAGTGCGGACCAGCTCCTTCGGCCATCACGCGCTTCCTGCGATACAAAAGCCTCCCCTTGACACTCTTTCAACATGCTTTTGCCCCTCTCCGTACCACAGGGCCAGTAAAAGGGTGTCACGGGGAGGCAAGCGGCCCTGTCTTCAGAGCCACTGAGTGCCTGCTCCACTGCAAAGGCGCAGGCCCAGCAGCTCCGAAAACGAGGCCTTAAGGAACTCACCCAAGGCCACTCGGCGAGTCAGTAGCGGAGCCCCCGAGGACGCACGCCAGGGGCCGTGCTCTGACCGCCCTATTGTCTGGCTGCTTCTCTACCACATCCACCGATGTGGGGGGAGGCGTAACAGCTCGAGGAGGCCAGGGCAGCCCCTGCTATGCCCCGAAGCCCCTCGCTGCCCCTCTGCTCCTTTTCCAGGTACACAACCCGGCACCTCAATG